ATTCATTCATTAATTTATTAACTCATTGAACAGGTATTTGAATGACTACTCTGTCAAGCAATGTCCCATCATCTTTTTCCCTCTTAATTCTATATTTTAACATTTAATTCAATATAATTTTTGATCAGAAACAGCAATAATATACCTTTAAAAGTTGTTTTTAGCCCTTTTTTTTCTGGTAAAATATGCTATGAAAAGCAACAGAGATGAATAACTTAGGGTACAAGTTAAATTCTTGCTTTGTAGAACAGTCCTGCCCCCTGATCTAGTAGAACATGTTTTTATAATTTCTCTATCTTAAAAAAAGCTTAGTGTGATGGTTGTATTAATAAACAACTGAAATATATTTGATTACTTTAAAATTCTTTTCTATAAATAAACCCAAGAGCAGTTTTCATTCCTTTGTAATTGTTTAAGCTTTCTCTTCTCTCTTCATTGATTCATTTAACAGATGTTTATTGACATATGGTTTGCAAGGTCAGGAATTCTGCCTGTCTTTGTTCATTCACTATTATATCACCAGTGTCTAGCATACTGCCTGGAAAATTCTCCATGCTTGATGTTTGTTGAGTGACTAAATGAACACACAAATGAAGGAATGCCTGCTTTTGCTTGAATTATAAGAAATTTGACCATTTCTTGACCACGAATGTAGCATATTATATGGTTCAACACTAATAATGTAAATGAAGTTCTGGAGACACAGTGATCTGGACACAATCTTTCTCTCTTGAATTTCGTGACCTTTTTCTGAGAGATGGTTTAGTGCATTTGTGGAGGCTAACAACATGAGCTCCAAAGTCAAGCTGGGGTTTACCCAGGTGCCTTCATTAACTAATTGTGTGGTCAGAGATCACTGCCTCTGTGTCCACTGTAAGATGGAGATTATAGTAGTAACTTCTCTCCAAGAGCTGATACGAGTATTGAAATATTACAGGCTGTTGCAGGCAAATGCTCTCAGGAGTACGTGGCACCTAGCAAACAATCTGTACAGCTGCATTGCTCTTTCTACTATTAGTATTACCGAAAGTTTAGTAGATACCAAGCCCTGGGATATGGTCTTTGCTTTTTATAAGTTAGCAGCCTACTGAGGGAGATAGAAAATGAAACAGAATACAGCATGATGCTTGATAAGTGATACTTCACCCAGAATGACAGGGAAAGCTTCCGGGAGTAGGCGATATCTGACCTGAAATCAGAAGGCAGTAGGACTCAGCCTGGAGTGGATGGGGATGTGGGAGTGGTAGGGTCAGGGCATGGTGTTGAGAGGCCAAGGAAGCAGCACAAGCAAAGACAAGGGCGTGAGAGAGAATGTGGTCAGTAAAGTAAGAGGGGCATGGGGAGACCAAGTCCTGCAGGGAAAAGCAGGCTGAGTCAAGTCTTGAAGGGCCCTGATCAAGAGTCAGCGGGGAATGGCCTCAGGTTTGCACTTGAGGAAATCACCCAGCACTGGTGAGAATGGATTGTGTTGGGATATGATGAGAAGGAGACCAGATTAAAGACTGGTGTGATACATTATGGGAGAGCTGTGCCAATGGAGACAGAATCTTGGGAAACCCTGTATTTTGGGGACACTGAGGAACTGTCACTATCATTTGCTAAGGACTTTGTTAAGTACACTGTAAACTCTAAACCATATCGATTCAGTGTAAGTTTTTTTTCTTTATCTTTATTGTTATAGATGTCTTCATTTTCCCCTCCTTTGTCTGCCTCCACCCAGCCTCTCCCCAGCCCTGGCCCCTGCCCCTGGCCATTGCCATGCTTTTGTTTGTGCATTTGAGTTACACATATATGTTCTTTGTTTGATCAATTGGTAAATTTGTAGTGAAAGGAGTGGAGGATGGATGGGTTAAAGACAAAGAGCAACCCACACTTACCTTTATTCTAGAATACTTTATACTGCCTGCACAGATTACTACATGTTTATTCTTTGGTATTCTGTGAATTATTGCATTTTTTATATGTGATTGAAATATCCCCGAATTGCTCACATTAACATAATTAATCCTGGCCCTCTAGGAGCCTTAGGATCTAGAAATTATAGTAAAAAGTCGAACATCTCAAAACAAAACAATCCACAAAACCACACTGCATAGAGAAGCTGTTTTCATTCTTGATTTTTATGGTTCACTGAGTTAATGAAGAGAGCTTCCTGTGTTTTCAAAATCCTTGAACTATTCAATGTAGTAAAATGTTACATTGGTCCTGGTAGATGAGACAGACCAAAGTCATTCATTCAACAAATAATCACGTACGTACTAGGTGTTAGGTGTAAAACAATGGGAAAAACAGATTATCCCTGATATCAGCCTACATTCTAGAAGAAGGAATGTTGTATTATTTTGATGAAAAATGGTTAAACATTTTTTCTTCAAGTATTTTTTTGACGTAAGATGGTAATGTAAGAAAAGAAGGTATGATGTATCTTTGTATCAGATATCTTTCTGATTTGTTTCCTAGATTATAAGAGTATGGTATTGTGAGGCTTTCAGGAGAGTTAGAACATTACTAATGCTTTAAGGTATGGTGCTTAATTGAAGATAGCTATTATTTACATAATAGGATAATTGAGTTATTTGTTTATTTTTTGCCAATCTTACTGACTAACGTAGATTACCTCTAATTTATCTCTTAAATCCCATCCAGAAGCTCCATTTGGTAGCCACACTATCAGCATTGTCTTGACTCGCCTTCAGCAGTCGCCTTCCCGGAGTATCTGCATCCTTTCTCTGTCTCCTCAATCTGTTTTTTACTTTCCAGCCAGAGTAAAATTTATGCTGTTAAATTAGTTTCCTATTGCTTTTGTAAAAATTTCCGTGAACCAAGTGGCATAAAGCAACGGAAATTAATATCTTCCACTTCTGGAGGTAAGAAGCCCAAAATCAGTCCCACTGGGCTAAAGTAAAGATGCTGGCAGTGCTGTGTTCCTTCTGGACGCTCTAGGGATGCTGTATTTGCTTGGCATTTTCTGGATTCTGGAAGGTCCCCCTGGACTCGTGGTCCTGCAGCACTCTGACCACTGCTGCTGTTGTCACACCTCCTTCTTTGACGCGTCTGCCCCTCTCTCTCACTTACCAGGAATCTCCTGATTATACTGCCCCAGTAAGAAAGTCCAGAATGGTCTTTCCAATCCCAAGATCCTTAATCACATCTGAAATGTTGCTTTGATCTGTAAGGTTACGTATTCACAGGTTTTGGGAACTAGGAGATGGAGATTTTTGGAGGAACATTATTCTGCTACCATCATGGGATAGAACAGTGTCTAGAACATGGGTGGAAGTGAGTTTCATAATTAATTAATTAAACATAAATATCTTCTCCTGCATAAAGCTTTTCTATGGCTTCCTATTACTTTTAGGATTAAAGACTTAAATCTCCATGGTGGCCTGGGGGGTTCTCACGGCCTAGCCAAGCCTGGTGCTTTCCTGGGTCTGCAGCCTCTTTGTGGGCCCTTCTCCCCCTTGCTCACAGAACTCTGCTCCATTTCTTCCCGACCCCTCGGGACCATGCTGTGGCCTCCACTTACACCAGCCCTCCGTCCCTTCCTCCACACCCCGCTGACTGTTTTCCTGCCACTCACCATTTGGATGGTAGAGCAAACTCTGCCTCCCTTAAGGAGCATCATCTTGGACTTTTCTTTGCTGGTCAAATATTCTACTTGGACACAGTCCTGGAGCCTGGACTTTTTTCTCTGTGATGGCACTTGATCACAGCTTGCAGTTGCTTATTGGTGCTCTGGTTTGTTTCATCTGTAAGTTCTGTGAAGGCAGTGGCTATTTCTGTTGCATGCTCAATGCCGATCATTTATTTGGTGCTCAATAAATATTTGTTAAAGGAATGGACTTAAAATGAAAAGACAGTGTGCCTAGTAAGCAGCTCTTGGTTTTGTTCATCACTGTAGTATTTTTGTAGCCAGAGGAAGAATGGGTTTCAGGTTATGAGTTTTGGGAAGAATGGGAAGGGTTTGTTCAATAATGGAAAATAAGGGATTGATAATTATTGAGTAGAGTAACCCAATGTTTTTTATTCATTTTTCAGTAAAGGAGTCAATTTCACTGTTTTCTAATTTTAAGACCCTTCTTCCAACTCTTTAAAAATATGTTTAACTGTCCAGTATGAACATACAGAGTCTCATAGGCTAGGGATTCTATTAACTTTTGAGGTCACCTTCATTCAGAGTTGATGTCATGGTTCAGAGGGAGTTGTTCTGGTTCAGGCCTGTGGAACACTGACCACTGGTGTTCAGTCTGCCAGACTTCCATGCACTCTTCTCTCAGTGTATGTCAGACCAGTTTTCTGTAAGGAAATGTTTTAAACAGAAAAAAAATTGTTTTATATTTTATACCTGATTCAACAGATTAATTTCCTTCTTTTAATTTTATATTCTATTAAATTATGAATTTTCCCATTTTAAGCTTGATTTATATTCATACAAATTAAATCATTATAGTTTCTCATTTAAGCTACAGTATTTTACCTTGATGTACTAAAGTTTGTGTTAGTTATCAGCTTTGTTGCCAATTCATGAACTTTCTGAAAGAAAGAAGACAGAACTTTTGGAATTTAAAAGTGCTTTGAAGCATTCCTATTCTATGAGAAAAAAATCACTTGGAGAAAATTAATTTAAAAGTATATTCTTATCATATTTTCTCTATCAACTGATTAATATTATAATTATTCAAATTTAACTTTTAAGTCAGAAATTTGTATTATATAAATTTGTATACCATGTCTATTTTTCACACTGGACAATTTCACATGATATACTGTGAAATAATATTTTTTTATCTATCTGTTTCTCTCTATAGTGTGATAATCACTGATGTTTTATTTTTTAAATCTTTTTACTGGACTCGATAAAAATTCGTAAAACTTACTAACTTTCAGTTTTTAATCTCTATGAAGATATACTAGTACTTAGCATTCTTTTGTTTTTAGCTTACCTCGGGTTGTTGTATAAGAATCAGTCTACATGAAATGCATATATTCTTTCCTTTTAGAGTATGTTGGATAAAGGACATCGTCGTAGCAGTAACTGGAGAGAACATGGAAGTGATGAAGGGCATTATTCGGCGGTACCACCATAAACGCATCTCACTAGTTGAGGCTGGAGTGACCCGTCACAGGTCGATATTCAATGGACTGAAAGCACTGGCCCAGGATCAGCCAGACTCGAAGCTCTCGAGGCCAGAAGTAGTGATTATCCATGATGCTGTGAGACCTTTTGTTGAGGAAGATGTACTCTTTAAAGTTGCCGCAGCTGCTAAGGAACATGGAGTAAGTATTTCCACTTAATGAGACTAGGTAAAAAGAGGCAACCATTACAGAGCGGTTCATTTGCTGAATTTTGTTGGGATTATATTTAAATTTCAAGTTATTTAAAATGGGCATGTTGTTCTAAAGATGGTTGGGTAATTTATTTCAGGAACTTTCTAGTGTTATGGACTGCAAGACTGTTCTGGAACTTGTCTTTGCTGGAGTCATTTATCACCCCAGTGTAACATGAGCTATTCGGAGAAGAATGTAGTATGTCATTAGAATATGGAAAATATCTAAGAAATCACTTAGAAATCTGGCTCATTGCATCCAAATTTTGTGTTTTGAATTTTCAGAAGTGGTTTATTTTAGCAGAACAGCCACATAAGATTTTTGCACTCTGTAAAGTGAATCATTACTTAAGATAACAGAATTGAAGAAGATCAAAAACTATGAACAGTAAAATGACAACAAACTCACAATTATCAACAACAACTGAACCTAAGAAACAAAAACAAAAACTAAGCAAACAACCAGAACAGGAACACAGCCAAGAAAGGGAGGTCACATAGAGGGTTTTCAGTGGGGAGCAGGGGGGAGGAATGTGGGGGGAAAGATACAGGGAATAAGAAGCATAATTGGTAGGCATAAAATAGATGGAGGGAGGTTAAGAATGGTATAGGAAACAGAGGACTCAAAGAATTTATATGTACAACCCATGGACATGAACTAAGGTGGGGGGAATGCTGGAGGGTTGAAGGGTACAGGGTGGATGGGGATAAAGGGGAGAAGAAATTGAGAAAACTGTAATAGTATAACCAGCAAAATATACTTAAAAATAACAGAACTGTTTTTACTTTTATTTCACCAAAATAAACATAGGCTTGCAAAAGACCTACTATTATCTCTAGAACATGTATTTTTCTTATTATCAGGTAAATTTCTATAAATAAAGTAATAGACATAAAACTTAAGTTCACAGTCTAAATTTTAGACGTAGTGAAAAATTATTGCTCAGACTTGGTACCGTGTGAGAGAAATGGTCTGTGAAGTCTGACAGACTTAGTCCCAATTTTTGGTTTTTCTAAGTATTAGCGGTGGAATGTGTTCAACTTTCACAACCTCTTTGGGCCTGTTTTTCTGACTTGTAAAGATATGTGTAAGGTTTTTAGGATAGAACATTTATAGGTTAACTTTTAGTAAAGTTCTGAATACTTAAAAATGGTATTATTTTAAGATGCATGGTAACATCTCTGTACTAGAGTTTCCTCCAAGGAGTGGAGAATAATGGAAGGAATCATCCAAGCCATCCTACGCATCCAGCAGGACAGGAAGCTATAAAATATTTATCTGGGAAAGCCAGCCTATGACCTCTCCTAAGTTACTGTATGTATTCGGATCCTGTAATCAGGAAATGTTCTCTGATTTCATCTCTTTTCCCTGCAACACAGACTTATTGAAATTTAGAACTGTAGGAGACTTCCGTAGATCAAGTGAAACATTTTGATTTCATTAACATGATTTCTAAATGGTATTTAGATGTAGTGAAAACTTGGTCCAGGAGCATTAGTAACCACAGAACTTTCTCCTGGTTCTCGTGCTTCTCCCGGGCCCGCTTTCCACTTCTCTGGCCCCTCAGCCGCTGTAGAGACAATGTAGTCAGTGACAAGAGTGCTGAGTAGCAATAATGGACCGAAGAATTCACAACTCTTAGGAGTTTGAGTCCAATTTTACAATTTGAAAAACTTCCTAGGGAAGACTATATAATTTGGGGAGATCATTAGAAGCTTTAATGCATATTAAAATATATATAAAAATATAGCTCTTTGCCTGTGTTACCTTTGGGAATATATGACTCAAGCTCACTATAAAATTCACACATATTTGGAATTTTCTTCTTGAGTATTATATTTGCGAGAGATTAGTTCTAGGAGATTGTCTATAAAGTGTTCCTTTTGGGTATATGTCTGACAAGGCAAATGAAGCTTTTCATCTTGCTTCACTGAATAAGTTAAGGAGATGATGCTTTCCATACATATGTAAGAGGAGCCATGGATTAAGGATTTTACTTCACTCATTAAAAAGGGAACAACATGTGTTACAACTGCCGAGAAGCACAGATTTATGTGAAATAAAGGAATGGTAAAACAAATTCACAAATAAGCAAAACTGCTTTTCTAGGAAGGAAAGGTGTCCATTTGACCTCCATGGGGCAGAAATTATTCTCATGTTTATAGATAAGAATGATTTTTGCATTGCTATCAGTTATCTATAATTTCTGAGGGTTATAAAAGAGCCCAAAGGTAATGAAAGGTTAGATTGAGCTAATCTGGAAGGGTCTGCTTTAAATAACACATAATTTTCTGTTGGAGACACTCAGTAATATTTTTTTGCTTATTCTAAATTTCCTTACAATGGTTAGGATAGTCACCAGATAACCTCAGAAAATCCAGGCACTACTCCCTGCTAACCCTCATACTGCCCTAATCATAAAAATGGAAATGCAATTAATAGAGACCTACACTAGTAGTTGAAGTTCTTACATTGATAGGAATTATTGACATCTTTTGTAATCACTGGCCAATAAATTGGAAAAGACTGGTTTAACTCAAATGCTACCCCGAGGCAAGGAAAGAGTAATGACTGCTTAGTGAGAGCCACTGCACAGTTTGTTTTTCATGGATTCCTTTGAACTCCTTCTTTTTTATCCTCTTAAATTATATTCTTTAGACTCAGAACTGATTTTCTTGTTTTCTTAGTCCCTGTTTCAAGCTCTGCCAAAAGGTCCCATTCACATGAATCATTTTCTAGGTAAGCTACGCAGAGTAATAGCCCCTAAAAATATATATGCTAGGTAGTATATTTAGGTAGTATATGTGCTAAAGGTGGTAACTGTGATATATTTTTTAAAGTTTGTATTTATTTTTAGAGAGGGGAGGGAAGGAGAAGGAGAGAGAGAGAAACATCAATGTGTGGTTGCCTCTCAGGTGTCCCCTACTGGGGACCTGGCCTGCAACCCAGGCCCGTGCCCTGACTGGGAATTGAACTTTGGTTCATAGTCCAGCGCTCAATCCACTGAGCCACACCAGCTGGGACAGTAACTGTGATATTTTAACTTACCTCACATTTTGGATAAAACAAAACAAAACAAAACAAAATAAACTGATGAAGGTATATTACCTCAAGAGACTGTGGTGTCCAAAATCAAGGCCGACATGAGAGTTGCCTGCATACAGGATCTTGAAAGGCTCACAAGGACACAGTTTCACCCTCTTCATTGTGTCTGCACCGTTAATGGGCTCCACAGACTTCATGTGACCTCAATAAGAGCAGCAGTGAAATCCTTTTAGTGTTTATTCAGCCTCACTCTTGATGATAGAGGAACTGAAATTTATATAATAACCAGAAATTGTGACATGCGGTGTGTGGGTGTATTTTTATGTGATCTCTGTGGATTCTGCAGCCTGACTATATTTATCGATGATTGATAGCACTTTGGCAATTCTTTTAAGTTTAATATGTGTGCATCAGGAAAACATGCTTTCTTGCTACTTAGTTGTACAACTTTATGCAGTATAATCTGGGCATGTTCTAAAATAGAGGTGGAAACCACTTGGCAGATTTTGGCTGGCTTTGGAAATCTGAGATTAGGTAGAAGCGACCATGGCTGATAATCACTTGTACTTGATCCCTGTTGGATAGTTTTGATCAAGAGCAAGTGCACTGAAGGCTGGAGTTTAATTCAGGTAATGAGCCATTCTGGGTCATTGGATCCTGCGACATTATCTATTGAAGAGACACTTTGGTGTTAATTTAAATACTGGCTCTAATGAAGCAGTTTTAATTGTGAGTAAGCAGATTTAGTGGGAAATTTTAGGCTTACTTTGACAAAGATTTAAATGCTTAAGGAAAGTGCTGAGCTATTCCTCAACTGCCTTGGGATGAGGTGAGACTTGATCTGGTTCTGATGCTAGAGAACATATTGTGTGGAAAAAGGTTTTGTTTTACTTCATTACTTGAAATTACCAACACCTGTGTATACACGTTCAATGAATTACCTTAAAATTTAGTTGGAGAAGGGGATCAAGACAAGGGTATTCAGGGATTAAAATGAAATTTACCTACCCAACTGTATAATAATATACCTGATCATATTAGGTTTAAGGTAAATGTTACTAGTTTAACTTCCAGGAATTACATTTCAGTGCAGGGTGGGGCAAAAGTGTCTTTACAACTGTGAGTATGTGAAACAGAGTTTAATTCTTGTTTTATTATTTATTAATTATTATATTATTTTCCATACAAATAGCTGTAAACCTACTCTCTGTGTGTAAACCCACTCTGTATGTAAAATGAGGACTCATTCTTTTTTGCTGCATATTCACTTTTAGGAGTATTTTGTAGTATTATAGTAACTTGGACAGAGCTTTTTCTGAAATACCTATATTTCTATATTGAGTAAATAATAGATTCTTTTAACTCATCAAAAAGGAGATTGGAAGTATTCTATTATAAAATATTAAAAATCTTCTTTTTAAAGATTTTATTTATTCATTGTTAGAGAGAGGGGAAGGGAGGGAGAGAGAGAGGGAGAGAAACATCCGTGTGTGGTTGGTTGCCTTTTGTGCGCCCCCAGCCAGGGACCTGGCCTGCAACCCAGGCCTGTGCCCTGACTGGGAAGAGAACCGCAACCTTTCCGTCTGACTGCGCTCAATCCACTGAGCCACACCAGTCAGGGCAAAATATTCAAAATCTTGTAATTGCCAATGATTAGCTTTGAATATAACATATTTACAGAATATGTTATTCTGTAAATATTTACTGAGCCCTTCAATAGAGACAACTCAGCTCACTGAAATTGTAATTAGAAGGCCGGAGGATTGCTGTTGCACATTGTCGTAATCAGCTTGAATGCAGATGCCTGAGGGGGAATGCTTGTTAGCATCTGCTGTGTGGATAGATAAGTATTGTTCAATTTTGCTTTAAAAAGTGAACAAGTAGAGTTGGGATTCATTATCCCGCATTGTATGCTTTATATATCTATGATCATTTCTGTGCACTGACATGTGGAAATACTTTGATAGATTAGTCAGATTAGCCTGAGAGGCAAGTAATCACTGTGGTGCTGAGCTGTTAAGCTTCCATTCCGGGCTTATTATGCTAATTCCCAAGGAGACGGTGTATTTGATAACTTGGGAGTCCTGCTTCGTATCTCAGACTTCTCAGATTGCTATATCTGGGAGGCAGCTAACTGTCATTGTCCATACTTTGGTCATATTTGATGTCTCTCCTTAGATCCTGTGTCTTGCCTTGTGAACAACCACTGCACCACTGCTTTGGAGCTGATGGGTGGGCACGATGACTTGTTTCTTTCAGAGCACTAACCCTTCTTCATCCGCAAGGTGCTGACAAGGGCATTAGAAGACTCACATATTCTCATTCTGCTTCTTCTGCTAGAGAACCCCTGCCTTATGTGTGATCTGGGGCAACAGGTGGCTGGGCCCCAGTATCTCTGCCTCCTGATTCCAGGGCAGGTCCTCACCCTGTAGGTGGGTGTTTCCAGCCTGTGGGCCACACTTGCATTACTTAGCCTCTGTGAGTGACGTGGAGTGGAGTGTGATGGGACGTGTTAGCACTCTGCTTCTCCTACTGGGAATGAGGGGGCAAGGACCCTGTTTTTTGGCTGTGCCTGTCCACACACGAAACTGGGTGTGGAATGAGGAAGGAAACAGATCATGACTTGAGTACCACGGACTCTCTCTGTTCTCACCAAGGTTTAGTAGATTTTCTTTAATAAATGTTTTCTAATTTGCTGAATATCCTTAAGACAGTTTTCTAAGGCTTTTAAATGGTTGTTCTTTAAAAATACTTTACACTAGTTCTAGTTGTTTTGCTGGGGAGGGAATCTGTGGAGCTACTCATGTTGACGAGTTGAATGTCTCATGTTATCTTTTAAATAAATTTTTACTTTGTGGCCTGGCATAAAATTGTCTATAAGTTGTTGCAAAAGAAGTTTGATGTTTGCAAGAAGAAGTTTGAAGTTTGAAGAAGAGTAAAAGAAGTTTTATTCTTAAAAAGCAGTGTGTATGTATACATGTGTGTGCATGTGTTTCTTTCCTGTCTTGTTTTCTAACCCCTACTGATAGGCTTGACCAGTTGGGCTAATTCCTCATCTACCTTACCTACCTTTCACCTACTTGGACATAACTTCCTCCCTGTCACCCCCGGTGGTCTCCTCATTTTTGCTTTTATGCCTATGGTCCAAATTTTTACTTGAGTCACTGGAAATGGCGACACAGTTTGTAAATTATCTACATGACTCATACATTAACTTTGATTTTCAGCCAGTCTCTTGGCTTTTATAAACTAAATTATGGACTCGCTTGCTCACATGTTGGCCTTAAGACCAAATTTGTTGTATTTGTGTATTAGCTTCATGTGCTAAAATCTCCATGTAGCAATTACCTGGAAAGTGGGATATTTTGGGTGACATATGAGGAGGTTTGGTTTAACTGCCTACCACGAGAACTGTATTTCAAGGCTACTTCTCCAAGGCAGAGAAGCCTTGTTTGGTAATGACCTCTGAGATCTTCCAATGAGACTGTATTACAGATAAAGGTAAAAATGATCAGATATGAAGGTGTGACTTTTTAAAAGGTTAGATGCATCTATTAATGAGACAACTTTTATCAGAGCAATGGATATTAATGTTTTGCCTGAGTTGGCACTCCACCGATGCTATGTTTGAAAGGAATTTTTTTTCACAGGAATTAGAGCAAGAACATAAATTTATTGTTACACGGGTTGTTGTTGAGTCTCATTTTGGGGATCTTAGGGAACATGTCTGTTTCCTTAATTATCTAATGCGTAAACCCAATCTTTAGAAGGCATACTAATTAGTAATTTATGTATTCCCTTTTCGGTTCTTTCATTGTAGTGTTTTTCTTTCTCCCATCTTCAGGGAATACTCAATTATATCTTTGCATCCCCTTTTGATACTTGACTTCTATGGCCTGTATAAAAAGGATTTTCATCCTATGATGAAGAAAATTTTCTGCCTCTTAGCACATGGAACTGTAATATTATGAGATTGGCTTTTTGAACTGACATGGTTTGATTTATGAACCAAATTAAGTTATTCAAATATTTTCTTGAGGTAGTTTATTGAAGGTATGAATAGGTCTGCTTTCAGAAATAAGAGACAGAGTTTGGAATTTTACTTTAACATATTGTCTAAGTGAAATAAATATGTTATTTGTCTTTTTGCTCGTCGTTTAGGCAGCAGGAGCCGTTAGACCTCTTGTGTCCACCGTCATCAGTCCATCCCCCGACGGTTGCTTGGACCACTCACTGGAACGTGCCCGACACAGAGCAAGTGAGATGCCCCAGGCTTTTCTGTATGATGTGATCTATGCAGCATATCAGCAGGTAAGAATTCTGGCTTTAAAAAAAAAGATTTTACTTACTTACTTTTAGAGAGAGGGATAAGCGGGGGCAAAGAGTGGGAGAGAAACTTTGATGTGCAAGAAAAACATTGACTAGCTGCTTCTCCCACTCCCCAAACTGGAAACTGGGTTGGCCTGCAATCCAGGCATGTGCCCTGATGGAGAATTGAACCAGTGACCTTTTGCTTTTGTGGGGCAATGCCCGACCAGCAAAGCCACATGGTCAGGGCAGAAATTCTGGCATTTTAAAAAAGCTGCTGTGTTGGGGGTCACTAAGACCACCCCTATGTTTGGAGATTTTTGTAGAAGAACTCATGCAACTCAGTATATAGTTGTACACATGCCTTAAATTGATTACAGTGAAGTAGTGAGGATGCACGGCCGATTCTGTGGGAAAGAGACATAGACAGAGTGTGGAGGAATCCACGTGCTGGTTTCATTATGCTCACCCCCTTTCCTGAAGGGTAACCCAAAGACTGCCTTCCTCTGAGCATCAAAAATGCAGCAACATGTACAGTGTGTCTCCCCAGGGAAGCCCATTAGAGACTTGGTGTCCAAGGTGGTTAGTAGGGTAGGTCACGTAGACATCCCACCTACCACATTAAACGGTTCCAGATTCCCAGGAGGAGAACAGGTATTTAACATAAATCATACTGTTTATGCAAACGGTCTCAGCTCAGAGAGCCACACTTATCAGTTAGTTAACCGTTCACTGGGAATGCTGCCAGAGCCAAAGTCCCAGATGCTGGCGGAGGGCTCACCTAGCTGACAGGTGTTTCTAAGTTACAGCCTTCTCAGGCCTGATGCGGCAGATTTTCTGTGCAGCTGTGTAGACATTTTGGCTAATTAAAACTCAAAGGTAAGTTCTTTCAAAACATCAAATAATTTATTCATGTTTTAATTATCCCGGATTACCTTTGTTTTGTTTTTTATCTTTTGGAAACATTTTGTACCTATGTAAATTTTACTGCCATTAATTTGCAAGTTTATTGGTTAAACAGTTATTGAATATCAGTCATTAGGCTTGTCAGAAACTTGTTAATGAAATGTAACTTAGAGACTAACCCAGTGCTCGCTTGATGTTAGACAACAGTATATATGAGATAATGGTACTATGAATATTGACATTTAACATAACAGAAAAATACTACATATTTTGGCTAGAAGGTAGTTAATCACATATGTACATTAAATTATGACAATCTTGACTATGAGTTACTGTTTAAAAGTGAGATTATATAAATTAGAATTTGTTTTAATGATATGAATCGTCAGCCATGGTTTATATTGTATTCTTAAAATAATGAATTTGAAGTATAGGAATTTGTCTGTATTTTTTCATTAATCCTATAATTGTTATGCTACTATGAATATCTTTTTTTATTCAAATATCATCTTTTATAGCCTAAACCTTGCTGAGCTAGACTACATTTCCCATCTTTTTTTAAATTAATGAAAGAATTTATTTATTCTTCTATAAACATTTATATTAGGAAGAATAAATATATGATAGCTATATTTTAGACAAAAATTTGAATATAATCTCACAGTCTTCACAGTAAAGCATCACTTTTTTCAATGTTGTTTGCTGGAGAATTAAGCCCTAATGCACTGAGGCACTGGTTCTCAAATACAAGTTTCTTCTTTTCTGGAACTGACTGCTTACTTATCTTGCTATATATCCCTTAATACTAGGTAAATTATCACTTCCCTGCTCCCCTCCCCCTTCTCCAGACTAGATTAGGTCAACACAATATATGTTTTCCCAGTGCCCTGTTTTTCTGCCCACCATCAAAATTATAACTAATTATTTAGGAAATCGTTTTTAAAATGTGTGACTCCCTGCTAGACTCTGGGCCCTGAGAGGCAAGACAGTCTCTGTCTTGTTCTTAGCAACCTGCCTGATAAATTGTTAGTACCAAACACATGTATGTTCAGTGGGAAAACATACAAGATGTGTGTGTGTATATATGTTCTTGTTCTTCCCTCTGCCTGGGCCACTTTCTCCAGATAATCATGCTGGTTGTCTCCGTTCTTCACCTGGGTCCTTGTGCACACGTCACCTTCTCTGGGAAGCTTGCCTTTCTAATGTTATGTGAAATAACATCCTCTATCTTGTATTTCTTTGTTCTGCTTTAGTTTTCCTTGTTTGATATCACTTTTTGACAAACCCATGTCTCTGGCAGGTATTTGTCTCTCCCCACTACTAGTATGTCAGTTCCACGGGTACAGGGACATTTCTTATCTCTAGCATCTGGAAGAGTTCGTAGCTGACATGAGGTTCTTAATACTATAAAATCAATGAATTTTACACACACATACAAATGTGTATGTGTAAGTATATACATACTTATATGTTAATGCTAATGTCAGTTATTATATAAAAAGCTCTGCATGGGGATAATATATTCACATATGTGTATGTTTATAAATTCTTCCTAGAACCTTTAAGAAAATCATCTGAACAATTGCTAGAAGTATGGGCAAACATTTGTGTATAAAATTGTTAGTGGCAGCATTTCTGTAGGTGTGAAATTTTATGCAGCCTATATTTCTAGAGATCAATTAGTGATAATCATTGATAAAACTTTTAAAGGGTCACTTAAAGTTTGTGTTTTTGTGGAATTTCTGGGAATGCAAATGCTCATGAGGGAATGTTATATTAATGATATAACATAATGATACAAAATTATATTAATAACTATATAAAATATATCTTATACCCTTATATGTCTAAATATATATAGAAAAATTAATTGCATAATTCATTACTGAAATGTTATTAATGTTTATGTCTGGGTTGACATTAATTTAAAAGTCATTAAAAATCTAAAGGTATAGTAGAAATATAAGGTATATAAATACTTAAGTATTATTTTTAATGCTTTTTGGGCTTTTTTGTATAAATAGGTATTTATTGGTTTTTGTTGCTTAAAATCATCTAAAAAGTTTTAATGACATGTTATGAGTTTTCTAAAAGAAAATACTGCTAAATTACATACTATCAAATTCAATAGTAAAAATTATAGTCTCTAGGAACATGGGGGCAACCCCAGAAATCAGTCCAGAGAATTAATACATATTAAATATTTAAATATGTAATTATTTTATGCAGTCTTAGGAAAAAATAAGAATTTTTTTGTAGAAACAAGCTTTCAAATTACATAAATGCATTTCTTGAGAAAATTGGCATGGTGGTCACAGATGGCATTTGGAACTTTGTTCTTTAGGGACCTGCATAATTTCTAACCCTTAAGTTTTTAGGTTCTTCTCAGAAAGTGGATTTTAGAACATAACTTGTTAATTTAGTTTGCTTGAAAGATACAGCAGGACTCAACCAGTGAAAGAGTTCTTCAGTTGTTAATTATGTACATTTTGGTTTGATATCTTAGAATTTACTGTGGGAATATTTAATAATGAAATACTACAGCTTCTCAATCTCCATTATAAGAGTATTTTCTTTCAGTGCCCATTTAACTTGGAAGGAGAAAAACATCCTTAAGAAACCACATTCAAAACAAACCCATTATTAAAGATTCCTGTTACATTGGTCTTCTGGTACAACAATATCGTAATCATAATATTAAATGAGTACGACGGGAATTTCCTTTGGTAATGCCTCTACCCATGTGCATTAGAATCAATGGAACTCATATCCTGTAATGAGTGCTAACACATTGGGCTTTAAGTGCTGAGTTCACAAGAAACCAGTCATGAAGTAGGAATGTTATGAAGAGTGTCTTTTTTTTATAACCATAAGCATTACAATTTTCAGAGGTTTTATTGTCATTTTACAGAGTGTAGTTTCCCAAAGGAGGGGACTTTGTGAATGTTTAGTTGGGCCCCACTGGATTCGAAAGTGATTAGGAAAAGCCTCAGAGGACAGTCTCAGAAGAAATCTCATGTTACATGGGATTTTGAAAAGGACACGTAGGAAGGGATAGGAGGAGAGCACAAATCATCTTTTGACAAATGGAGAATTGAAGACTGGACAAGAATGAAAAGATCATCAGGGGGAAGATTGAGTGAACGAAGGAAGAAAATGTGAAGAAAGGGAGCGAAAAGGAGAAAGAAATAAGGGTTTTAAAGATAAAGCTTCCGGCATCCTAAAAAGCTGACTGGTTAGGACCATCATTTTGCCTCTCATAAATTTTAGCTGCAAAGCCAGATAGCAAGATACACGGTCATTAATGAACCATGATCTCTGTATTATTTATTATACTTTATAAGATAAAATAAATTCACAACTTTCTGGTGCTGTCGAAGGGTTATTTAAGCATTTGCCAAAGTCATGCTTTTTCCTATTTGTCGTATTCCTCATTTTTTTAAAATCCTATTCCCTTGTTGTCTACCCTGCCATTATGCTTTCTTTACCAGTTTTTCTAGGTAGGCTCATACAGGCAGATCATTTTCCTGGTCCCAATTTTGGAGAAATTCAAAAGCGTTGTGGAAAAAAATACATTTTGTGGCACTGGCAGGGACTTCCTTTGAGAATGATATCTTCACCTCCAGAAATTTCTTAATAGTTGACAATTATAAATTATTTTTGTTCTTTATTTACTTTATGTGTATGATACCAGTTATAAATGATTTTTACAAACTAGCCTTTCTCTGAATCTTCTACAATTGACAGTGGTTTTAAAACTGCTCCATCAAGTCTTATCTAAATAGGTTTTAAGGAAAATAAATCTTTTGACAGCTTTCCTCCTGTCCTTCTTGTTCACCTTGATCAACGTGCCACATCACAAATCATTGCAGGTGATCTTTTTCACCCTCAAAGCAGTCCATATTGGTCTACAGCCTTAGGACCTCAGGTGGCCCTGGAAGGTTCCAGGGTAAAAGATGTCAGTTAGCATGGCATAACTATGTTCCACTACCCAGAACTCCGGCCTGTGGAGCTCATGACTTAGTTTTATCACCACACCTGCCTTTTGCCCTATAGGATCTGTTGTTGGTGTATGTGATTTCTTTTACTTTTCATTA